TGAATAAACTCAATAGCACTTTCAATCTGTTAATGGTAAAGAGCAATGTTTTTAAAGGCTGCGCCTTTTTGAATTTCAGGCGGAGATTGATGCTGCAAATGTACAGCTTGAAATGTCAATATCAGCCATACACAGAGAGATTATATTTTATATCTTTCCTGCCACACACACCTCTGCTTAAAAAACAAGCGCAGAAGGAGGTCAGGGTCGTGTTTGAATTAATTGTATTGCAATTTTGCATGCCAATTTATCATCTCAATCTTCGAGAGGGAGGTTTTTCACAAACAGAAAACGCCGAACAGTTGTGTTCCACAAAACAATTTGCTTTGCTCAGCCATAATGACTGAAGCTGTGGACGCCTCCCCGCACCCCTTTGGATTTGGCCATCTGAGGTCAGGGGACAAGCAGAAACAAGAATGGAAAAATGATTAAGAGGAGCCAAATTTCTCTCTGTCTGGCTGCTCTTAAAGGGCCAGGTTATTGGGTGCAATTGGAAAGTAAACAGTTTGAGATTAAAAAGAGTGTGTGCTGTTCTCTGCTTTGGCATACTGGACCACTCAGACAGATCTAAAGAAATACTAGATTTCAAATTTTTTTTAATGGGGAATCTGGCATTGTGTAATCCCACCCTGATCCCTAGGTATAACCTGAAACCTGGACAGAACCTGGACAGAACTCTTAATTGATTAAGAGTCCAAACATCTTCTGGAAACTGCAGTGTGCAGTCAGGCCTTCACAATATCTTTTTAACCAACCACCATCGGCTGACGTTTTAAATTATCATATACACACACACACACACACACACACACACACACACAGTGGTACCTCAGGTTACATACGCTTCAGGTTACATACGCTTCAGGTTACAGACTCCGCTAACCCAGAAATAGTGCTTCAGGTTAAGAACTTTGCTTCAGGATAAGAACAGAAATCGTGCAGCGGCGGCACAGTGGCAGCAGGAGGCCCCATTAGCTAAAGTGGTGCTTCAGGTTAAGAACAGTTTCAGGTTAAGAACGGACGTCCGGAACGAATTAAGTACTTAACCTGAGGTACCACTGTATTTGTAGACTGAGCTCCTTGTGTTTTTCATGCTGCAAGCCGCCTTGATGAATTTTCAAATAATCATGATGTAATAGCTGCTTGAATTCCACAGAGCTTGCTCCCATCTAAGTGGGTTTAGGTTTGTGGTCTCCTCTTCCCACGCTCCATTTTAAGATTGAGACAAACAAAGTATTTCTTTCCCCCTGCTCCCCCACCCCAATTTTTTGCTTTGCTTAACACCCACCCTTAGAAAACAAATTTCTATAATATTTTGTGACGTTTTGTTTGGCCTAAAAAAGAAGCTGCCCTCGTCTGGAGTCTTATCGTTCCTTGATTCCAGCATCGTCCTGGTTTGCATGTGCGAATAAGGGACAGAGAAACTCTGTTCTTCCGTGACATGCAAACCCAACAGGGCTAACTGCAGGCTCATTAAGACCGTTAGGAAAAATAATCTAGGTGCACACTTTAAAACGGCAACATGCAGTGACTGAGATCACAGCATAATTGCTACAGATCTTTTCGACTATTTTCTGTTTTTAAAGAAAGCAATTCTCTTCGCATGTCAAGTGAGGGAATCATGAAAGGTCACATGGTAATTATTAGCGTTATTATTGTTACCGTTATTATTAGGATCTTCCCAGAGTCTGCAGATATCATACTACCACTCAAGATTTTATATGCGTGTAGAGTTTAAAATTCTATTACTGTTTGTTTTTAATGTTTGTATGTTTCCCGTGGTTCTTATTTTTATCTGTAAGCCGCCTTGAGTCCTGCTAGGCGGGGCATAAAATTTATTATTATTATTATTATTATTATTATTATTATTATTATTATGAATAGATGTTTATGGGAGCAAGGAGCCACCAGTACAATACCAACATCTGCACCAGCTTTTTCACTGTATTTTCCTCGGGGCAGAGACCTGTAATTTTGGCCGATGCTCCTCAGTAAAGCACCTCGTGTGCTGATGCTATAGAAGCCCATCATAAGAATAACTCCAAAGATATCAACTCAAAACATGATTTTCACCGGAAATGGTTTGCACGAGGGTTATGAGAAACGGCAGCGACGTCTGCACAGCTGCTTCCGCCCTACTTTGCAATAGGAACATTTAGGCCAAGGGGCTGCTACAGTCGTCCCCGTGGTCCTCCAACTACCTTCCCTGTTTTAAACCCCACCTTCCCCTCAGCGCACGGTCCCAAGTCCTGTTTAATTAAAGGAGGTTACCCAGGGCGACTCGGCTGGCAGCGCCACCCTGGGCAGCTGTCACCCAGTATCGAGGAACCAATTTGTCATCCTTAGTGGGTCCCATAATCCCTTCTAATTCAGTTACCAATCTGCACGGTGGGGGGGTGGAGGGAGGGAGGGTGAGAGCAGCGGCCTTAAGAGGATTGGGGCATTTGCTAAATTAGATAAGCAAAAATAACAAATGGCAAGTGCGCACTGGGGTCGGTTACCGAGTCCGGACGACAGGAAGACTTTCTGGAAAGCTGGGGCATCGCACACCCAAGCCAGATAAGAGCGCCCAGCATCCGAAATTGGAAGCTCGTGTAAAGGGAACCCGGATGGAGAAAGAAGCTGCACCCACATTTTTCTGGAATGGCCTTTTTTTAAAGAAAAAGAGAGCTGCGTTGACAAAATATAGCTCTGCTGGTGGTGACATTAGTCTCCATTATTCATTTCAGCCGGCCTTCTTCATAATTGCTGCTGGCACTGCTGCCGGCGTCACAGAACACAGAAAATGGGAATTGCTGATTGCACAGAAAAGTATGGATTTCCTACAAAAAAGAGACACAAAACTTTTTGATTCCCAAGTACGCTAAAGCTATCCAGCAGGCATGATCCTATCCAAGAGGCTCTGACTAATATACAGTGGTACCTCGGGTTACATACGCTTCAGGTTACATACTCCGCTAACCCAGAAATAGTACCTTGGGTTAAGAACTTTGCTTCAGGATGAGAACAGAAATCGTGCTCCGGTGGCACGGCAGCAGCGGGAGGCCCCATTAGCTAAAGTGGTGCTTCAGGTTAAGAACAGTTTCAGGTTAAGAACGGACCTCCAGAATGAATTAAGTACTTAACCCGAGGTACCACTGTACACATAAATTCATAGTTGCAAGGCATCTAGCACAACCCCCCACAATACAGGAACCTTTTTGCTCAACGTGGGACTCGAATCCATAACCTTGAGATTAATAGTCTTTTAAAAAACCCATTATGTTTTTATGATAGAATGGGAGTTGCCCTTGGTGGCCTATAATTTTTTTAAAAAAGAGACTAGGAAGTGGCTTGAGACAGGATCCGTTCTAATGGTGTTAACTCGGCCTGGAGCGACGTTCCTCAACCAGGTGCTCTCCAGATGTGTTGCATCACCAAGCCACAGCCTGAAACATCTGGAGCAGGGACCAGCAAACTTTTTCAGCAGTAGGCCTGTCCACTGTCCCTCAGACCTTGTGGGGGGGCCGGACTGTATTTTGAAAAAATAATCATGAACGAATTCCTATGCCCCACAAATAACCTAGAGATGCATTTTAAATAAAAGCACACATTCTACTCATGCAAAAACACACAGATTCCTGGACCGTCCACAGGCTGGATTTAGAAGGCTATTGGGCCGGATCCGGCCCCTGGGCCTTAGTTTGCCTACCCATGATCTGAAGGAACCCAGGCTGGGGACTGACCCCTTTTGTTAGAGATTGTAAGGTGATTTGAAAGAGAGTTGGCTGCTCCGGCAAACAGGTTTGGCAGGTTTCAGATGCTTTAAAAACCCTTTGGATCAGACATAAATTACTGATTGTGTGCCTGCACCATGAGAGGCAAAGCCTCTCTCTCAAGCGACTTTTAAAACTCTCTTTAAAAACTATTGCTTATCTACTCCAGCTACCATCTTTTGCTCCACTGTCAACTTTGGTCAAAACACATTTTGCAGCTTGTAAAAATACAAAACCTGCCAAACCAGACACACAAATCGGAGGTGTGTTTAGACTACCAACAGCCACCCCACTTCCAGAGTGCTTTCAGCTCTCTGGGGAAAACAAAAACCTGCCTCGAGCCTCCAATTCTGCACCAAAATTCTGTGTTCAAAACTGCGTACGCACATAGAGACCTGGGAGGATGCTTCTTTGTTAACGAATATCTCCTTTGGTTCTGTTAAGTCTCATTTTATTGGCTGCCATGAAGGAACGAACAGGTGCTTTTTCTCAGCACAATGTAATGTGGAGTTTGGTTGCCAAGAAATCCCTGGAGATGGAAGCACGCCACTCAAAATCATCAGAATTATCTCCAAAACTGCAGCTTTTTTTTTTTTAAAGGAAAGGTTCTATTTTTGTTCTGCAAACTATTCTGAAATGCATTTAACAAGAAATTCTCCTTTAAGCCCCCCCCCAATAAATATTAGATGGACAGAAAAATGTATGTGAATATAGACAGGGTAGAATCTATTGACCTAATTTTCTGATATGCCACTTCCAAGCATTTGCAGAAACTGTTTGGTTTTAAACTCTCGTAGGGCTCCTGTCTCCATCCTGGATTCTACCACACTAAATCTTCAATTCTAGCCTGCAGACCCCAGCAATCGCCCTAATTTCGCAGAATTTATTGTTTTAAGTAGCAGCTGAAATCATCGACAACAAAAATCACACAGAGCCACTGTTCCTTTTCACCTATTTTGTTTTTTTTTAACATTTTAATATTTTAATTTTTTTTTAAACCACCAACAATCTTTTTTTGTTTTGTTTTTGGTAACTGTACAGGAAATTGCTCATCACAAACTAAGTAATAAATAGAGAAAACCACTGACAGAACAACTTCCATGGGAATGCTTCTCATCTACAGCAAGAGGATGTCGTCGTTTCTTTTTTTAAAAAAAGAGAAAGAAGAAGGTATTACAGCTAAGAAACCTAAACTAAAAAAATGTTGAATATCATTTACAAAATAGAACTTTCTAAAATTTAAAAACCCATTGCAATTTTTGTTTTTAAGGGAAGGGGAGTAATCATATTATTTACAAATGCTTATTGAACTGTTTAAACACTTTATTTTCCCACCCCACCCCAGATGAAATCAGATGCTGGAAAAGTTAAGCCTCACCCCACATTTCTCGTCTAGTTAAAATTTATCCTGCGTTAACTATTTCATGTTGTACAGGATATAAAAGATTGAGCACTGAAAGGAATTTTGGTGCTATCCAAAATACCAAAGGATCAAACAAAATTCACTGAGGCAATATATATACACCCACAGGTCAGCAGTAGACTATTTTTGTTCACATCCAGAAGGTCCCAGATTCAAATCCTGGGTGTCCAGGGATAGGAAAGATTTCAAACTCTCCCAGAAGGCCTAGTTATTAGCCATTTGCCCTGATTAGCAAATCACACACAAAGCTTATGCGGAGCTTTAACTAGGCCTGGTCTTTATCGAACAATTGTTCTGATCTCTTTGTGGGGATGGTTACGAGACATGGAGCAGAAATCCCGATTTGCTTGCGGGGCTTTTGCATTAAATCATTTTCACCCCTCCAGTGCACTTTCCTAACTACAAAAATAATAATCTGTTTTTGTAAAATGCAGAGATAAGCTAGGAGGAGGAAGCAGAGCAGCAGCAACAGCCATTATTATTATTAATAATAATTTACATACTGCTTAATCACAAATGTCTCTAAGCGGTGTACCAAAAAACCCTCGATGAACGTAAAAATCAGAAGTCAGTTAAAACTCTCCTGGAATTTTTATTTTAAAAAAAGTTTTTGGGAAGTTCAGCAGGGAGGGGACCTGTCTGACATCAACTGGAAAAAGTTCCATAAAACTGGGCCATTACATTACAGAACGCATGGCTTTTCCTAGGTTGTTGGGAACAAACTAGGTGAGGTCCTATGAGATTTACGGCAGAGGCAGTGCCGTACTAATAAGCTGTTCGTTTTCTGTTGGTGAATCTGCTACCCACCTCCTTGACTTTATGTTTGGGGAAGTCCCATGAGGCTAGATCTCAGTCTAGCCAGAAAGGGAGATGTCCTTCTCTCTGTGATGGACACGGCATCCCCTTAAGTGGAGCAGGCTCAAGTGTGGATGGAAAGGGAGTCGTTCCCAAGCTTTCTCCACAACCAGAGGGACTAGAAACTTGCTTTTGTGTAAGAGGAGATGCTGGGAACATGGCAGGCAAAACATTACCAAGCACCATCAACGTATCTTCCTTTGCTATTCGTATGCAAGCTTTTAAAATATTAATCAGCTGTCACCTGATTAAAGAAATTCTAGACAATGTGTTTTTGTCAACAAATTGATTTGTTGACCAAATTTCAGTAGTTCTGAAGCAAAAAAGCACACCTAGCTTTTTAGGTGATGTTCATGTGTCAGTTGGGTACAACAGTTGGGTAAACTGTTTGTTATTATTGTTATTATAATTGTTGTTGTTATTGGTTTCTATTCAAATTATTGGTTTGTTTGTTGCTTGTATAGGATATTTTGGTTTTTTTAAATGTTTGAATGTTGTGTTTTTATACATGTTTTTATACATGTTGTAAGCCGCCCAGAGTGGCTGGGGAAACCCAGCCAGAGGGGTGGGATATAAATTAAAAAATCATGATTTTTTATTATCATCTGAGAAGAGACATTCCCTCTTCCAGTGTGTAAAGGGGGGGGGGGGAGGGATGCCTCTTCTAAGATACCCATTGTTCTCTGTAGCTTTTATAATTCATTGAATTAAAAGTATTTTTTTTAAATACTAGAGCACTTTTTTTAGTTTATCAAAAGTTGTTTTTTTTAAAAAATATCTATTGAACTACCTGATTGATTACTTCTGACTAGACATGCATAGGAATGTGAAGTGAGCAATACTGTCTGCAATGGGAGGGTCAGAGGTTAATGAGGAGTCCCAAAAGCAGAAACAGGGGGGAAAAGGTTTCAGATGCCTGGTGTTGGTATACTCTCACCATAAAGCACAGAGCATGGGAAAAAAGAAGAAGCAGAGCCGGCCCTACCATGAGACAGAATGCAGCAGCTGACTCAGGCAGCCAATGCTAAGGGGTGGGGAGTAGATAAAGCCGCAGGTGTTTTTAGGGCTGTCCTGCAGGCAGAACCTGCCGCTCTCAAGCGCGGGGGAGCCAGTCGCCAGTGTCGAAGCAAGATTTGACTGCCGGTCTGCTTGGCTTTTGTACGTGGAAATTGGACGAGAGGCACCAGCTTCTCCTTTGTCCTCAGGTGGCAAAATGTCTTGAACTGGCTCTGAAAACAACGAAACAATCAAACCCCGCCAAACCAGAGTGCTGACTTGCTGGTGTTGACTTGAGCAATGCACTTCAGGCAGGAGGGAACGGGCTGAAATAAAACCTCTTGATGATCAGGGATAAGGAGCATGTGCTTAAGTCCATGGTGCCGGAATTGCTCGTTTCCATTAGGAAAAAGGATGGACCAAACTGTGAGCTGATGCTTGCCCTTGTCTCTGCTAACCCAGTTTGTTGTCGTCGTTAAAATATCATTTGAGAAAGCAACCTGGCTTCTAAAAACGTGGCTCTCTTGAAAACTTTTGCCTCTGCTGTGGCACCTCTAACACGCCTGATGAAAACTCCAACAACCTCTGATCGTCTGGTGTTGCTTCCAGTTTCGGTCTACTTCCAGCAGAGAGGTTCCAAATGCCACCCCAGTTGTCGCGAGGGTTTCATGAGCTGTCAAGTCACTGAGTCCAGGCCAAGAATCTGAAGGAATGACACGTCCAAGGCCCGGGCGTGTGAAACGAAGGCTGTACACGAGTTCCTAACATCCGCACGGATCTGCCTCGTTGCCGGCGTTTCCGAAAACAGCGCAGAAAAACAAAGCAATGCTACAGTACGTGCAATGCTGGTGAGGAGAAGAACGCCTCCTCTTAAAGAAATAAGAAGGGGGGAGAGGGGGAGAGGAGAAGCAGCCAGGGGTCTCAATGTCGAGCTTGGACAGAAGAGGTTGTCCCAGGATGCTCTGCAAAGGAAGGATGGAGACTCTTTCACAAGACCTGGAACTTCCAGGAGCTCTGATCTTTGTAATCCAAGCAGTCGGTGGCGTTGAAGTTGAGCTTCCAGGAGGCGGCCTGGTCCTTGTAGTCTAGGCAATCCACAGAGCTGAACCCCAGGCCGGCTGTGCCGTAGCCCTGGCTGGAGAGGGAGGCCGGCGACTGGCTCAGGTGGCTGCCCATGGTTGGGGTGGTGATGGGGCTCAGCGCTGCCCCCGGCGCGGAGAGCTGCGGGTGCATGGGAGACAGGTAGGAGCTGCAGTCAAGGCCGCTGAAGTAGGAGGTAGAACCGGCGTAGGTCTGTGTGTAGCCGGGAGCCTGCGTGTAAGTCATGGGGTAGGCAGTGGAGCGCTGCATGCAAGGGGTTGTGGAGGAGGAAAGGGGGTCCGGGATCGGGGAAATGGAGGCCGGGCTCCAGATGGAGACAGTGGCGCTCGCGCTGGAGCTGGGCGTCACGGAGGTGCCAGCCGGCGGAGGGCTGTACTGCCCGTTGGTGCTGGTCTCAGAGCTGGTCTCCCGGGCCGGAGAGGTCTTCTTCTTGGCAGGCCGGGCTTTGGCTTGCCCGCTGCTCTGCTGCTGCTGCTGGCGGCACTTGGCTCGGCGGTTCTTGAACCACACCTGCGGGGAAGGAAGGCAAGAAAGGATGAGCTTCGAGGGGAATGCTTGGGGAGGAACCAAAAGGAAGGGTCGGTATTTCCCTGGGAACCATTTCAACGGAACACGAGGCGGAGGATTCAGAAGTTCATAGGAGGAGCCCAAGCTGATAACATTGGAGAAGTTTATAAATGTGATAAACGGTTCCAGGAAATTGGGTGTGGGGAGCTTGTTTTTGCTGGCACGGTTGGGGCTGATGGGAGTTGTTGTTTGGCAGCATCCGGAGGGCCAAATGTCAACACCTTTGGCACATCCTGTCTGTGTTTCAATATAATAATAATAATTATAATAATAATAATAATAATAATAAAATTTATTTATACCCCCCCAGGCTCAGGGTGGCTAACACCAGTAAAATTACAATAGAAACATAATGGGGGGGGACGGGACAAAACAAACAAAACCCCCAATTTAAAATACAGGTTAAAATGCTATTTAAAAAACAGCCTCATTTTAAAAGTAGCTCATAAATCAAAACCGTAAGGGGAGGGAAGACATAAGGGTCAGACTGAGTCCTGCAGGGCCCTGGACTCTTGTGACAGAGCGTTCCACCAAGTCGGGGCCAGTACTGAAAAGGCCCTGGCCCTAGTTGAGACCAATTTAACCACCTTGCGACTTGGGACCTCCAAAATGTTGTCATTTGTGGACCTTAAGGTCCTCCGCGGGGCATACCAGGAGAGGCGGTCCCGTAGGTACGTGGGTCCTAGGCCGCATTTAAAAGGTTCCTCTGCTATAACAGGAAGTTTCCTGCAACCCAGTGATGGGTTTTTATAATATAGGGCTGCCAGATGTCTGGAATTTCCCAATTTTTGGGAGATTTTGCAGTAGAAAAAGCTCAATAACTTTTGTGTCCGGTTTTTTTCCACTTCTTGAAACATGGCAACCCTATTTAATAAGATGGTTGCTTCAGCCTTCCATCCCCACTCCCTGACTTGGGATAATGCGCAGTCACCTATGTGGATGGAGCATGTTAAAGCAAACTAGGGTGGGAGTTTGCTCCTGGCCTCTGTTTTCTTTGCAAAGTACCTGTGAAGTGCTACGAGGAAAGATGGCGGCCAGGATACAAATATGGCCAGACAGTGACAGAGATTTGAGTGCAGTGTGCCTCAGCGGAAAGGGAGGTCTCAGAGGCTTAGTGGCCTATTGTGGGATGGCCTCCTGAGGGAGAGTTGCCTAATAGGATGTAACAGGAACAATGTGTGCTCCCACCAGAGGGCACTCTGCAGGCACACAAAACCACACACCGACTCCTAAAAATCATGGGACCCAAAAAAATAAAAAAGAACAGAAAATAAAGAAAAAAGAAGAAGAAAAATCATGGGACCTTTTTTGAACACATCCACACCACACATTGAAAGCACTCTCACTTTAAGAGTCATGGCTTCTCCCAAAGAAATATGGGAACTGTAGTTTAAGGCTCCTTGGACCAACACTCCAAACAAACTACAGTTCCCAGGATTCTTTGCACAGACAGCCCATGACGCTTTTGATAGAGTGAGTGTTTTAAATGAATAGCTCAGTCGGTACAGCAGGAGACTCTTAATCTCAGGGTTCAAGGCCCACACTGGGCAAAAGATTTCTGCATTGATGGGGGTTGGACTATATGACCATCAGGTGCCTTCCAATTCTACGATTCTATGAAATGCATGGGGTTGAATCCTTGTTGCTGTACTCAGGGTAAAAAGGTACCCCTGCCCGTCAGTGCCAGTCGTGTCCGACTCTAGGGTTGTGCGCCCATCTCACTTAAGAGGCCAGGAGCCAGCGCTGTCCGGAGACACTTCCGGGTCACGTGGCCAGCGTGACGAAGCTGCTCTGGCGAGCCAGCACCAGCACAGCACACGGAAACGCCGTTTACCTTCCCGCTATAAAGCGGTACGTATTTATCTACTTGCACTTAAGGGTGCTTTCGAACTGCTAGGTGGGCAGGAGCTGGGACCGAAAGACGGGAGCTCACCCCGCCGCGGGGATTCGAACCGCCGACCATGCGATCGGCAAGCCCTAGGCGCTGAGGTTTTACCCACAGCGCCACCCGCGTCCCCTACTCAGGGTAGACCTATTGAAATGGAACATGGCCATTCGTGCCAATAGGTCTACTCTGAGTGTATATGAGGACCTCTGCCTCCATCAGCACTCAGGTTTCTTTTTACACACCACTCCAGCTTTCCAATTCGTAGCGATTAATATTCTTGCAGCTACCTTGGCATACAATAATATTTCTCTCACATTTTTTGGTATGTCTGGGCCTAATATCCCCAGCCTCCAGTTTTTTTTAATGAAGGATACCTTGATCATTCTTTTGAGCTCATTATAAATTGCACCCCAAAATTCCTTTACTTTCTTACAGGTCCCCTTTGGCCACCCGCAATGCTGGCACATAGTTGCAACTGAGAGCATGTGCGCACTGCCAGGGTCTTCAGACAGCAAGACACCTCACTCCTGGTTCGAGTCTCCCGGCCCCTGCGCCTTTGTTGGCTTGCTGCCCTTCGCCCCCTCCCCAGCGGACCCCCACCTGAACTCTGGATTCAGGAAGATTGATCTTCAGAGCCACTTCCTCGCGCATGAAGATGTCTGGGTAGCGCGTCTTGGCGAAGAGAGCCTCCAAGATATCCAGCTGGGCTCGCGTGAAGGTCGTGCGCTCGCGCCTCTGTTTCCGTGGGGTGGCTAAAAAAATAAGAGGAGAGATCTGGATTCAGGGAAAGATCGGTATCTCATCATGAGACCCTCTTCATACATGTGGGTCAGTTCAGTTCATTCTCTGCATTTAAAGAACAACAGCAAGAATGTTACAGTGGTACCTCAGGTTAAGTACTTAATTCATTCCGGAGGTCCGTACTTAACCTGAAACTGTTCTTAACCTGAAGCACCACTTTAGCTAATGTGGCCTCCTGCTGCCGCCGCACCTCCGGAGCCCGATTTCTGTTCTCATCCTGAAGCAAAGTTCTTAACCTGAAGAACTATTTCTGGGTTAGCGGAGTCTGTAACCTGAAGCGTATGTAACCCGAGGTACCACTATATTTTAAAAAATAACAGCAATAACCACGACGATGATAAGCTGCACAACTCTATGTGCCTTTAAACTGATTTGTAAAAATGTTACATGGAAAAAATACGAGAGACATTACACATACTTCTGTAAAACAAGAAAATCTTTGATAAAAAAATAAAATAAAATAAAACCTCTATGTGCCTTTGACAGTGCTCTGGAGGCTGCAGCTGGTACAGATTGTGGCTGCTAAGTTCTGGAGGAGCACCGGAAACTAGGAGCATAACTTACACGTCCTAAAAGAGCTATGCTTGGCTATCTGTTTGCTATCAGGCCCAATTTAAGGTGCTGGGTTTTTAAAGGAAGGCCTCTACCATTATTTGCCAGCCTGCACCTTAAGGTCTGCAAGGCAGGCCCTGCTTGTAGATCTTATGGCGCAACTCAGAGCAGGGCCTCCCCTGTTATGGCACCCTGTCTGTGGAACTTCCTCCCACTGGAAGTACGGTCGTCCCCAATGTTAGCAGTCTTTCGGCATCCTTTGTGCCTAGGGAGGTGGCTGATTTAAAGGACAAATGTCTCTGCTTCGTGACAGCTCTTTTTAAGAATACTTTTATTTGTGCCTTTTCAGTAGCAAATGCTCATAAACTGTCCAACTCAAAAGAGCCCTCTGTTCCCCCTTCCTCCTACCCATTCATTCCATGTGTGTCTAGCATTCACATAGAGGTAAGTTATTTAAGGTTATAGAACTACAGAAGAGACCCCGCGGGTCATCTAGCCCAACCCGCTGAAATTCAGGGATCTTTTGCCCAAGCCCACGACCCTGAGATTAAGAGCCTCGTGTTCTACCAACTGAGCTCTCCAAGAAGCTGTAAGAATATCAATTTCTAAATGCAAACTTTAATTTCTAAATGTAAACGTTACTTCACTGGAACACAAAACCCCACATCGTCTCACCCGATACGGCAAATTTGCTGCCATTGCGGGACTTCCAAACGAGAGACTTCCAGGTTCTTTTTCAAGTGACAAGTATTGAACTTTAGGTCTTTCTCTATACGAAGCATTCATTCCGCCAGAGTGGTGGGTCTGGGAGAATGTCCAGAAGACACCCTCTGAGGCCACAGAGGAGTCTCCCTTTGGAAAAGAGCGAATTGTTCTGTTCCCAGTGTCTCCCCATAGATCAACTGAGGAATGGTTACAACAAGCCAATGTTCAGAGGAGGGGTTGAAGCTGAGGGATGGTGAAGGAAGAAATTTGAACTTGGCAGCTCCCTAGCTTAGCCAGTCCACTAAAAGGGCCTGGGGAAATAATAATAATAATAATAATAATAATAATAATAATAATAATAAAAAATACCCCACCCATCTGGCTGGGTTTCCCTAGCCACTCTGGGCAGCTTCCAACAAAAGATTAAAATACAATAAATGGCGTCCTAGCTGCCTGGGACTCTGAGAAGCCCTAGTCTCACACACTACCAACCCAACCTTTCTCAACCTGGGATCTCCAGATTTTGTTGGACTACAACTCCCATTATCTCTAGCTAGCATGTCAGGGATGATGGGAGTTGTAGTCCAATAACATCTGGAAATGTTGGGAAAGGCTGCTCTAACCACCACACCACCCTGGCTCAAAGGAGCTTAATAATAGTAATGATAATAATAATAATAATAATAATAATAATAATAATAATATTTTATATTCCGCCCTCCCCAGCCAAAGCCGGGCTCAGAGCGGCTAACAACAGTAAAAATAGCACAATTTACATAAAATCACAGTCAATTAATTGAAATACATTCTAAAATCAATTCATTCTAAAATTAATTTCCCTCTCCCTCCGTTTTATCTAGATGGGTGGGGTATATTATTATTATTATTATTATTATTATTATTATTATTATTATCCTCAAAGCAACCCTCTGCTTGGGGTGACAGGCAGTGAGTGGCCTAAAGTTAGCCAGGGAGGCTGGTGGCTCAGGGGGGGGCTTTGAAGTGGGGTCTCCCCAGTCCTGGTCAGGCACTATAACCACTACACCACACTGCCTCTCTTCAGGGAAATCCTGCCGGCCATTGCAGGATCTTCTGATGGAGGAATTCCGGATGAGCATCTAAGCCACTTCCCCTCCTCCGCCTTTCCCAACACTGAGTCCCCAGAGGTGGCTGCATCACAATTCCTACCCTCCCTGACCGTTGACTATTCTGGCTGGGGATGAGGGGAGTCCAGCAACAGCTGGAGACCCCAGGCTGCGAAGGGAGGCTGCAGGGATTTCCAGGGACTGAGCAGCTCAAAAGCACCACTTTGCCAAACTGGAAAAAGGAGCTGGACTCCTTCTCAAGGACACTTCACACTTATTTATGGACCTTAAGGTCCATAAATAGCAACACCCTAGTGGTCCCGGGCCCTGAGGAAGTCAGATTAGCCTCAACCAGAGGCAGGGCCTTTTCAACACTGGCCCCGGACTGGTGGAACGCTCTGTCTCATGAGACCAGGGCCCTGCAGGATCTGATTTCTTTCCGCAGGGCCTGTAAGACAGAGTTGTTCCGCCTGGCCTTTGGCTTGGAATCAACTTGATCCCCTCCCCCTCTTTCCTTTCTCCTTCTGTGATGGAACTCCTATTTGGGGACTTCCCTGGCTTTTTTCTGGCCCACGTAGGACTAGTCTGGATAGTTGGCCTTGGTGATGACTTGACGTTTTCATCCCCAAAAAGTTTTTTGAATTTGAATTTCTACTGAAATGGGGCTGCATTTTAATGTTGTATTTTAATTTTGTTTTTAAGTTGTATTTTAATCAATTATTTTTATACTTGGTGTTAGCCGCCCTGAGCCTGGTCTCGGCTGGGGTATAAATAAAATTTATTATTATTTATTATTATTGTTTGATATAAGTTGTTTATTTTAAAGCTATTGTGACTTTTCATACTGGATCAGATTGTTACTATTAATACTATTTATTATAATTTTTATGTGTGTTGGAAGCCCCCAGAGTGGCTGGGGCAACCAAACCAGATGGGCAAGGTAATAATAATAATAGCTATTATTACTGTAGCACAGTAGGTCTTGCTGTTAAGTATTTGAGCCCACCCAGGGACAAATGTGGGCAGAGGGTTGGACTAGATGACTCTGGGGGTCCCTTCCACCTCTACAATTCTCCAATTCTGTACACAGCAGCTGGCTTGCACGAAAACTCCACCAGCAGTTGCTGAGAGAAACAGCCGGCGAAGGGCGTCCCAGAATAAGCTGCTTGGAGGTGGTTGGGTTGGTTGTTTTTTTTGTTTTTTTTAAAGCAATGTATACATTTTGATAATAAATAAATTAAATACCAAGAAGGGGAGAGAAGGTGGAAAGCCACTACTATCATCCTCCTCATCATCATCATTTTATGTGCCACACATCTGACTGGGTTGTCCCAGTCACTCTGGGAGGCTCCCAACGGAATATTAAAAACACAATAAAATACCAAACATTAACAACTTCCCTATACGGTGCTGCCTTTCGATTGGTCTACTCTGAGTAGCTGGATGTCATCCTGTATATTTCCCATGATGCATTTACCATGACAAGTGGTCACCTGACTTGACAGCTCCCTTCCACCCAGGCTAAGCTTATTTGGGGTAGAGATTTTCCGCTCCGAAATCACAAAATGCTGTTATCTCTTCCTATCTCTTATCTTGATTAGATATAGTTGTTCTCCCTCTTATCACTTCATTCCCCCTGATGAGATAAAGCTGTTCTCCCCCTTTCCAGAAATCACGATTCCCAAACTTAACGCCTTTTCTTTCTTTTTAACCCAAAGTGATATTGGTTGCCAAGGAAGCGGATGACCCAATGACAGACCCTTTGCAGTCTCTGGATGGGGAAATTGCAGCCCTCTGGGTTCTTCACAGAATTTGTAAGAGCTGGAAGGGACCCAAAGGTCATCTAGATCTCAACCCTTGTTGGACTCCAACTCCCATCAGCCATGGCCAGTGAAGATGGGACTTATAGTCCAACAACATCTGGAGAGCCACAGGCCCACCCCTCCCAATTCCAGTGTCTATTGAGAAGAAGGGATGTAAAATACAATAAAATTGAATAGGTGATCATCCCATTTTCAGCTGGGCAGATGTGGCCTTGGGCACTCAAAGCCTATGGCTTTACATCTCAGATTCTCAGTAAATCCGTTAGGTGGCCTGGGGCAAATATGGAAATGAACCTCCCAGGGTTGTGAATACACCTGACTTTCATTTAAATGACTCTCTTTCTTTGGCAAGGACCACAGCTCAGAGGTGGAGCTTCTCTTTTCTATGAAGGCTGCAGGTTCAGTCCCTGACATTAGCAGGGAGGGCTGCAGAACCCCAGAGCATGGGTAGGCAAACTAAAGCCAGGGGGCCAGATCCGGCCCAATCACGTTCTAAATCCGGCCCATGGACAGTCTGGGAATCAGCGTGTTTTTACATGAGTAGAATGTGTCCTTTTATTTTTAATAATAATAATAATTATTATTATTTTTTATACCCCGCCCATCTGGCTGGGTTTCCCCAGCCACTCCGGGCGACTTCCAACAGAACACTGCATCTCTGGGTTATTTGTGGGGCATAGGAATTCGTTCATTTCCCCCAAAAAAATATAGTCCGCCCCCCCACAAGGTCTGAGGGACAGTGGACTGGCCCACGGCTGAAAAAGGTTGCTGACCCCTGCCCTAGAGAAAGGCTGCCAGTCAGTGTAGGGCAGTACTGACCTTTGACCTAGACCAGGGGTCAGCAACTTAAGGCCCGTGGGCCGGATGCGGCCCAATCGCCTTCTCAATCCCGCCCAAGGACGGTCTGGGAATCAGCATGTTTTTACACAAGTAGAATGTGTCCTTTTATTTAAAATGCATCTCTGGGTTATTTGTGGGGCATAGGAATTCGTTCATTATTATTAATTTTTTTCAAAATATAGTCCGGCCCACCACATGGTCTGAGGGACGGTGGACCGGCCCCTGGCTGAAAAAGGTTGCTGACACCTGACCTAGATGGACCCCAATGGATGTCCTCCTCCTCCACCCCTCCCTATAGTAAGATATTGTCTAGTTTCCCCCTGCTCAAGTCCCCTTGCAATCAATTGATGAGCAGGGTATTCCCCGCCCCTTCCTGGCACAGACATCTAATTACTGCATGATTTTTCCCTCCGCATAGAAGACTGTACCAAATTGGTTCCTGCCCATTGTGATCACAAGTGTATTCTGCATGAATTGGCTCCTTTAAAGGGATCTCTTCCTAGGGATTCCCCCTGCTCTTTTTTCTATTGGTTCAGATCACCCCTCAGCCCCATGGAGGAAAGGCAGGATATAAAAGGGAACAGGAGGATAAATTTCTGTTTTCAGAAAGGGCCATGGAGCAATTTTCTACCTAGAAGAGGCAACGGAATAATAAAAAAAAAGAATATGGACTCTCCACTAATTTAAAACAATATTAAAGGCTAGTTAGGGATGCATTAATATCTGCTTCTTCCTTCGCAATTATATAAGTTTTTTAAAAGCTGCCCAGCCTACTGGAGGCAGGTCACATGACAGAAATGATGGTCTAGCTTTATTTAGGAAGGTTTCCTCCACCTGGAAACAGTCTGGGATAAAAAATTATTGTGACATTAACTAGGCAATGTTGCTATGAAGTTTAGCGTCTATAACACTAAAAACAATTATGTCATGCTATTAGTTGCTTAGATTCTTAACCTGCTCCAGAACACCTGAACTAGGCAGGGGAGCAGGGACTTAGGGGTTCCCCTTAAGTTTCAATTATTTCAACGTCCAAAAATGCACTTTTGGGTAATTCACAAGGAATCTGTGAACATCCAGTGGTTTGCTTGGGGTTTTCTGCTGGGGGAGGGTGTGGACAGCAAACTAGGATCCAGATAACATTACGGGCTTTTATAAGAGCGCCCTGAGAACTTCGAATGAAGGGAAGTATTATTATTAGAATAATGACTTTATTTTGGCTGAATCCTGCCCATTGTGATCACAAGTGTGTCTGCATGAATTGGCTCATTTAAATGGATCTCTTTCTAGGGAACCTTTGGAACTTGTAAACCACGTGATGGCCGCTACATATCAAAATCAAAATCTCAAATACTATATATATATATATATATATATATATATATATATATATATATGAAATGCAGAAGTCTTTCAACACATTTTCAACAAAATCTGCCCTGGTGGTGGGAAGGCAATTTAAGCATCTATGAATGCAAAAAAACTGGAAATACCACCCCAAAACTGGTGACGTTTTTGAAAACATTTTTCATTTTTTAATTTATCATGGTCTCAGTACCTGAATATGAACCTCCAAAACTATTTTTATATTTAATTGTAAAATAAGTATGTGTGTGTATGTGTATACACACACACACACATATATACTTATTTTACAATTAACTATAAAACTATAAAAATAGTTATATATATATAAACTGAGGGCATTTCATCTTTAAACACATGCAATTTGATAAATAGTAGAGTAAGAACATTGATCACGATCCACAATAATATAATTCAATATTTGCACATTCTGTTTGTTTTGATCCCCAAACCAAACAGGAAGCAGTTTCTATTCTCTTTTCCCCCACATTTGGCCAACTAGCTGAATTCTCCCTCGCTACCCGATAACCCACTGGTTTCAATTCATAGAAAAAAGAAAAACCCAGTTACGTCTCTCCATCCTTTGCCTACCAAGAACCAACTCAGTGATGCCCATCGCCCAAGTTTCCTCCAAAACTGAAAAATGACACAAAAAGGGGGGGGAATCTTGCAAATCCACTTACTGGGGTACCCGACGGCCGAATGTAGCAAGTCCATGCCTGGCCCAGCCAAGGTGAGGCCGTTGACTGCATAATGTGGTTGCTTGATGTAGGACATCATGCTCAGAAGGTTGGAGTCCCCAAAGATCTCAGTGGGGAGAGAGGTCTTCTGCTGCTGGTGGTAGTGCTCCTTCGCTCTTGCTTCTGGCTGGCTGGCTGGCTGGAAGCCTCCTAGGTCACCCTGGTCCTCCACTCAGCACCCAAGGGCAGCTGGAACTGCAGCCAGGAGGCAAAGACAGACAAGACCAGGAGTTTAGTGGCCGCCTCCCCAAGGAGGGAGAGGTGGGGAGGAGAGAGAGGTTGACCAATGGCAAGCGAGAGAAGACACCACACCTTTCTGGTGTCCTTCTGGGCTAACCCTCCAGAGGTGGTCCATGCAAGGAGGACTCGTGACTTTCCTACAAAGCCTAGAACCTCACTGGCAGCCGAATAAATAAATAAATAAACAAACTCCTTTGGCCTTTTTCTTCCCCACTCTGTATACTGCCTACTTCCCCCACCCCCTTTTTAATTTGAATTGCACATTACCATACAGTCAGTAATGATACAGAAAAAGCTGGAGGGGTTTTTTTTGGGGGGGGGGAGAGATTGGGATTTTAGCAACTCAAAAGGGGGGTCTAATGGATACCAATAGGCTATCAGGCCCATGCTTTTGAGGGTCTATTATTACCTAAATGAGCAGGTTAAGTCAACACATTAAGGACTCACAGTGGTGCCTGGAGTTTTTGGAGGGGGAAAGGATTCTGGAGGCAGAGAAGGATTCTGCGCACCTCTTGTAGAAGTTTGGCCTCTCAAATGCAATGCTTTACAATATACAGCAGTTCTGTTGCTTCCCTCCTCCTGAGAATAGTTTTCCCCCTCAAACTTCTGAGGGGGCTTTTTGTTTGTTTCAAAAAAGGAAGCGTACAATTCTAAGGGAACTGAGTGTAAACATATACAAAACATTGTGCGGTGTAGCAGCTGAATGAATCTGAAAGTCACGAGTTCAAATCCTACCTTAGCCTCATTTCATCCACTCCCCTGCCCAGTCCACTACAGCATGGTGATAATACTGACCTACCCTTCAGGATTATTGTAAATATGACATATATACACTCACAGAGAGAGAGAGAGAGAGAGAGAGAGAGAGAGAAATACGGTGCCTTGTATATGCTAACTATTGTTATACTAATTTACCTGTCAATTTAAATTTAGGATGAAACTCTTAGCCTTCTTAATCTAGTGTGTATATGTATATTCTCCTTGTTTGTGGAATGTTCTCCACAGGGAAACTCGCTGGCACCTTCATTAAATATGTTTAGGTGGCAGGCGAAGTTTCTCTATAGCCAGGTCTTTGGCTGAGTAACACACTATGGCCTTTAAAATGTGTTGGGAGGGAGGTATTTGCTCTTGGTTTTGCTTTTATTCTGTATTCTGTGTTCTCATTTTGTATTTTTTATGCCGTGAACCGCTCAGTGATCTTCAGACGAAAGGCAGGCACACCAATTTTTGAAAATAATATTTAGGACTTGGTTAGGACTCACGAGGGCGCAGCACGAGGACTCAGCTGCGCCACAAGTAAGGACGAGCATGTGCAGAGTGCCTTTTGCTCTCACCGCATGGTATCCCAGCACATCAGACCTACAACCCTGAAATCGGGGAGCAAAATGAAATTGCAAGCAATTCCACATTTCTCAACGTTGAGAACAAGATAGAACAGTGCAATAAAACAACGGGCCTAATTCTTTGAAATTCTACCAACCCTCCATCAACATCCTTCTGAATTTTTCGGCTCTGGTAAAGCCAGTTTGGGGACCAGGCTTTATCTCTCTAGACTAGAGAATGTTTCGTGGTATTCCCTCTCTCTGCCATTAAGAAACCTGAGGCGTGGTTTGGCGGTGGCAGAATTTGCCAACTGCACTTTAACATCGCTTGTTTTGCTTAACCGCCAAGGTTTTATGAGAAGCGGGCCTGTAAATTGTGCATGGATTAAATGAGGGTTCCAAGGATAGCTGCTGAGCCCCGCAGGAATGGGTTGCAACAAGACAAAGAGACAGAGAAAACAAACTTCTCTGCCAAGTGGGAGAGAAGCTGCAGTTTTTCATTTCGGTTTTTCCGTCTTCCAAAGGATACAGAGGAGAGCATACGACGTGTGCAGGTTTCGTGTGCTGAGGAAAGCCTGGCGCATTTGAAAATGTGACGGAAACTGCCCTAAATCTGGGTTACCTTAGAGTAAAGAGCTATCTCTGGCTGGTAAAAAGGGAGAGGGAAGTAGACACTGAAGCCCCGCAGAATCAGGAGGTCTGCTTCTCAGCCTGAAGGCAGTAAGCCAGTCATGGACTTTCTAGCCTCGAGTTCTTCGGTGACTGCTGATATTTCCACTACTGCATGGCTTTTCTCCCAGCCCTTCCTGGAGTTGCCACAGACTAAAGCTGAGGCCTTCGGTACTCAAAGCAGACAGACAATGGGCCTAGAGCATTTTCCCAAAAAAGGATGCCTCTATCCAGGAAAAGGACGCAGGTGGCGCTGTGGGTTAAACCACAGAGCCTAGGACTTGCCGATCAGAAGGTTGGCAGTTCGAATCCCTGCGACGGGGTGAGCTCCCGTTGCTCGGTCCCTGCTCCTGCCAACCTAGCAGTTCGAAAGCATGTCAAAGTGCAAGTAGATAAATAGGTACCGCTCCAGCGGGAAGGTAAACGGCGTTTCCGTGCGCTGCTCTGGTTCGCCAGAAGCGGCTTAGTCATGCTGGCCACATGACCCGGAAGCTGTACACCGGCTCCCTCGGCCAGTAAAGCGAGATGAGCGCCGCAACCCCAGAGTCAGTCATGACTGGACCTAATGGTCAGGGGTCCCTTTACCTTTATCCAGGAAAAAGACATGGCTGGGAAAGCCACATTGTCCCCAAAGAACAGGGCAGATGGCCCAACAGAGCATCCTCCCCATTCACTGGTCTCTATTTTTGCAGTCCTTATCCTAGAGAAGGACTCACTTCAACAGGAGGAAAAGGGAGAAGGATCTCAGCAAAGGCAGGAGGAGGAGCCACGAAAGATGCTATCAAAGGCCTATATGGGTACCACTGTCTCACCGCCGAAATTAACAGAGGAGGCAGCAGACACACCAGGCGTTTAAAGCATATCCCTCACAAATAAGAATCCCGGGAACTGTGGTTTGTTAAGGGTGCTGTATCTCTGCCAGGGTAAACTACTATTCCTAGAATTTGGGATGCTTGTATATGCAGAATCCCTGGCTGCCCGTGAAATCCTAAACTGGGTGGCTAGATATCCCCTTAGCTGAAAAACCCGCTGGTGCCAAGTGAGTAGCAAGAGTGCCCAGTTGCAGAGCCGAGAGACCCAGGTTCAAGTCACGGTTTCAATGGGCAGGCGGAAGTAGCGTTGAGGGCATTGCTCTTGGTCGTTCATAGCTTCCTGCATTTGCAAAACAGGGATAGCTGGGAACCTGGAATTCCACTCTCAGTGTGAGAAGGGAAATAACGGACATAATAAAAGTCCGGCGCCCTGATCTTGCAGCGGCTAAGGAGATGCCTCTGGGAAAGCCTTATTTCCCATGATTTTAGCTCAGTTGGTAGAGCGTGAAACTCCTAATCTCAGGGTTGTGGGTTCGAGTCCCACACTGGGCAAAAGATTCCTGCATTGCAGGGGGTTGGACTAGATGACCCTCGTGGGTCCCTTTCTACGTTCCTTTGCCTAATCCTCTTTTAAAACCGTTCAGGCTGGCTGCCATTACTGGCTGCTTCCTGTGGGAGGCAGTTCCGCAGTTTAGCTACGTGTTGCGTGAAGAACTACAGCTTTTATAATTTCCTCTCTCCTTCTGCTTTTAACGTAGCGAATAAGAAAGACGGACTGAAGGCGGGAGGGGGAATCGAGGATGTTCAAAATCTCATCGGCATCAGCGGAAGTCTGGTCTGCAGCTGGATCCACGGAGGTTTAGGTGCAACCTAGATTTCTCTGGGATGCATTTCCGGAATTGGGGAAAATAGCTATGGGACACACGCAGTACTGGGGGAGATACAGTCACCAGAAGATTCTCCCTCCCCAAGCTTCCTTTGTTCCTAAATCCATCAGGGAATCAATCACTAATGATAATGGGCTTGGAAGATGCTGACAGTCTTCTTCTCTCTTTTGTTTGGCTAGCTCTCCTGCTGCTTCTTCCTTTTCCCCACCTTAACCGCATCCCTCCAGCTTTAGATTTCCAACTCCAGAGGCAAACAATGAAGAGGTTATAGAAAAGGGAGCCCACCGCCCTTATCTCTGTTCTATCCTGTTTTCCTTTAAACCAATTCGTGGCCCATGAACCTATTGTTCAAATCACGAACCGTTATGTTGCAGGCGTTGCTGCAAATCTATTTATTGCAAACAACGCGAGGAGAAGACTTGGCCTATTTATTTCCACCATTTATTATTCCTATGGTCCTTATTTGTAAAAACCCCTATAAAGTTATTCAAAGAAGAAGAAGAAGGAAAGAGAGTCCTTCCTTTCCCAGGGGTAGAACAAGCAGCTCTTAAATCTATAGCAAGGCAAAGTCAAATGGCAAGTTTGCAGAGAATTCCCTCACACACAGTTATTTGTCCCTGCAAATAGCTTCCCTTCCAATTAAGAGGTGTGGGTTGACCTTGTAAACAAAGAAAGGAACTGAATGGTGACACACATACACAAGTACACACCTACACAAAAAGTGACAGACAGGCACTTATATGCTTTTCAACACCTTAGATAAGATATCTAGAGAAGCCGGACTAAGGATGGTTTGGGGGCAAACTGTGTTTTCCTATCTGCTCAGAGGCTTTCACTTAAAGAGAAAAAAATTTCCTAAATTTTGACAGTCAAGAAGATGCTATAAGTCATGTCGCCTCATGACTTATCAACACCCCAACTGCTTTTTTGCACTTGAATGAAACTGGTCTACATCTATTATTATTGTTTTAATTATTATTTTTAAAATTTCTATGCCGCTCTTCATTTGAAGATCGCAGGGCGGTTTACTGTATAATAACACAAAAATTATGCCATAGTGACAAACAATAACACCTACCCACAGTTATTCTTCACTATCATTTCTTAAATTTCTCCAGTTATTAGTCTCCAGTTTTTGAAATGTACTCCAAATAATTTCCCCGGGGGAATTTAAACAGCTTGAAACAGGTGTAAATTTATTGGTTGCAAAGCACATACCCAGATAATAATAATATAATAATAATTTTTTATTTATACCCCGGCCAGAGCCAGGCTCAGGGCAGCTAACACCAATAAAATTTCAGTAAAAACATAATAACAATAAAAAAGATGGGAAAGGTTTGTAAAAAACTGGAAAAGTCGAATGGTTAACAGAGGCGGATATTGAGTTTTGATTATGTTGGATCAATAGCAAGCTCTCCACAGAACCTTCCTTTCTATTGTCTGAACAAATACCCTGCTCTGACCACAAGGTGCCTGAAATTTGGCCTCATACCGCAGTAACAGTATTCATGAAGAGGTACAGACAAAAAGATGTCTTTAGGGTTGCTTTTGAAAATGCCCCTTTGACGTTTAATTAAGCAATGTGTTCTCCATTAAAAAAAGCTGGCCTGGAGTGGGACACAGCTAGATTCCTTGACAATTTTAAAGGGATATTTTCCTCTTCCAAAACACCCAATATGATGATGATGTTGTTGTTGTTGTTGTTGTTGTTGTTGTTTTGTGGCACAACACATTCTAAGTCTGAAATCCTATGCCCACTTACCTGGGACTCAGGAGTAAGTTTTACTGAACTCAGACTTGCTTCTTAGCAAGCAGACATAGGAGGAACAGGCTGCGTGGCCCAATTTGCTCGCGTTTAATTCATTTATGTTTTCCATCACGTTTACATCCTGTCTTTCTGGTCTCAACCAGGAACCGCTGGGGTGGCTAATTCACAAGAGAGCAACCTTAATACTTGATATGAGCAGGGAGACGGGCTGCTCAGGATTTTCTGGCCGCATGAGGGGTCCTCAAAGTTTCCCCCCTCTGGCTACAGCCTCTCCCGGTTTGTGGGAAGCAGACTTTAGGGGGTTCCCAAACTGTGGTCCGCAGACCACCAACGGCCTGTGAGCCTCATTCAGTCTGTCTGTGAAGAACCCTTACAATCGGAGTTCCATGGAATCCAAACTGCAATACAGCAAAGTGCAATAGAAGAAGCACTGAAAATGAAATTAAAAACCATATGGGGATCTGTTTGACAGTAGAAGGTGCTGGAATCTCCTTTCCTGGAGGTTTTTCGGCAGAGGTTGGGTGAACATCTGCCAGGGATGCTTTAGTTGTGAGTCTGGCCTAACCTATGGTGTTGTTTCAAGGGCTGTGGCAGAATAATAATAATAACAAGGTAGTGTTTTGGACACTCGAGGTGCAATAAATAAATTTCTGTTCCCTCTGCTTCCAGTGTTCAAGGATATTAGTGCTGTTCTCTCTGCAGTTAATCATTCTCACCCTCGCACAGGGAAAAGGAATTTGGCAAGGTTGCAGAAGCCTTTCAGACAAAGGAAAACCTGAAGAGACCCCCCCAAAAAAACAGTCCCAAGAGGACAGTGTGCCCTCTCAGGGACCACAGAATGCTGGAAGACAGTTTGGGGTTTGCATTTTCGGAAAAGGAGGCAGGGAAGAGGACAACTAGATGGGAAATGGAACAGAATGAAGTGTCGTGAGCTAAGGCACAGCCAACAAAAGTGTCACCGCGCTGCAAAATTTTGTTGCAGCACCAATCTGTTGCCGTGAATGCTCTTCGAATAAGGTTGCCAGATTTTTTTCAATGAATCTGGGGACACTTTTCAACTTCCTACTAAATAGATGGATTTTGTCAGGGGACTGATCTGTAAATCCAGGAACTATCCCCGGGAAACGGGGACGTCTGGTAACCTTATATTTGACATTTGAGGGGTAAGGGGTGGTGGTGGGAAAAAGAAGTATCTGTGGGATTGAATGTGGGTATGTATGAATATTTTTAAGGATTGTATGAAATGTATGTTTGTATATTCGTAACATTAAAAAAAAAAAGACGATGGTAACGTTATATTTGAATCCCTGCCAGAAACTCTATAGCTTCACACGTCTATATTGATAGCCTTGATAATCAAATAAAAAGGACTAAGGTTTTAATAATAATAATAATAATAATAATTGTGCTTTTCTTTATTTATTTGTTTGTTGTGTTCAAGCAAAAGCCTAAAGGGGCTTGTGTTTCACCTGATAGCGTGGGTATATATAAGATAGAGGAATTATATTTTCCCCAAAGCCTAAACACTTACCTGGAGGGCACCCACATTGAACTCAATGGTTGTTTCACAGGTTTGCTCTGTTAAACTCTTTAGGATAGATTAATATTTATATGTTCAGGATTGCCCTGTTAAACTCCTTTAGAAAGAACATTGGAAAACTACCAGAGGATTTGCCAATCTGGATAAATTAAATGCTGAATTCCTTTTCGTTATCTATGTTCCACTTTTATTTATTTCTTTTTATTTCAGCAAGAACAGCTTAAAATGAATTTAGTTTTTTTTAAAAAAACTGCTAAGAAATGGGCGTTTTTTCCGTTAAAGGCAAATTTTAACTGATTTGTTTTTTATTAGGAAAGCAACAGCAAAAAAAAAAAGAAAAAGAAAAAGAAAAAAGAAAGGTCTAATATCTGTGTACAAATGCTTGCAATCCAGAAAGATATGAGCTCCTTAATGTAAGGAAACTGATAAACCTCTCTTTGGCTTAATGAAATATGCAAGTCTGAAGAGGTTTTGAGTGGGCAGATGGTGTTTTGCCCCAGATATTTTCCCATTTAAAATGTTGTCATCTCTTTGCAGTGTCTCGGATTATAGATTTATATAGCGGCAGGAAGAATGCAGTGAGAATCCTTTGAAACAAACAAACAAAAAGCTTTGGTTGCTGTTGTTGTTGTTGTTATTTTTATACAAATCAGATCAAGACAATCCTTTAAAATAGTCTCTCTCTGCATGTACCACATACATTGACTAAAAAATAAAAGTAAAATCAAGTTTTAAACATTTTCCTTTTAAAAAAAAACCCACAGAGCTCCTCTGTGGGTTTTTTTTTAAAAACACGATCTACATTGACCCAAAACTTGAGGGTTCTTTCTGAAGAACAATGCGAACAACCCCTCAAGATATATTGTTAGTGCTGCCATTTTATCTAATTCTTACTTTCAAAAGTGAAATTATACTCATTTTAATCTGTAGGGTCTGCTTGAAATGTTGCTTTGACGGTCAATACTTTGAAAAAAGATGATTGAAACTGAATCAACCACCTTTCACTGATTTTATGTTTATACATACACTGTATACACTTTGAAACATTATTTAGAAAACTCCATAGGTTTTTACATCTATCTCACTGAATGCAACTATTGCCACCTTTCCAGCTTTGCTATAAATGTGCTTCCCAGCCGTCAAATGAGACGAAATGCCAATACTGTAACAGAAGCTGAATATATACTACGCATCTCTAGATACGACATTGATGGTTGTTAGCGGACTCTGCAGAGTAATTTGACAGAGGTCGATTCCTTCCCCCATTTATCACATAAAATATGCCAACGTTTCCCAGGTTAAATCCCATTATGTCTTGTTTTCAGAACACGGAAAAAGGGGGAAATTAAACGTGCAC